CCTAGCTAAATATATAATAATTATTTAAATATGAATGTGCACAAATATGAACAAATTTCGGAATACATAGTTAGATCCAATATTTCAAAAGAGACAACAACTTACTTTCATAGAGAACATGAGAACGACCACAATACATCCTCAAAACTCTCTCCTGATCATCAATCAACGTACAAGGCTTAAATACTTGACGATCATTCACATCAGCAACCCGAGCCAATTGCATACTTGCATTATTTCCTGCACTCTTTAATTGATGATCATCTTAATCAGAGGTTCATGCCCAAAAAACCTACATAAAATTGTTTCATATTTTTTTTTAAAATAAAAATAGAATATGACAAGCAGAGTTCATATTTGTAATTTCATTATAAACATTTAATTAATAATTGAACATAGTAAAGTGTTGATATTATGTAATTTACAAAGAGACGTTGTTTTAGTCAGTGAAGGATAAAGATCACATCTTGCCATAACAAAGGCAATAACGTTTAGTCACTTGAAGAACTATGGATGAGTCATTTTACTGTCAAATGTCAACTCATCACAAAAAAAATTGATCAAAGTGTTACCAACATCATCCTATTAGTAATAATCACAACAATTTTATTTTACTACTAAACAACACACTTTCATCAAAATTTCCCATCAACATTGACATCCTCATAATATTAATATATAAATAACAAACAATAATGGATTCTAAATTAGTTATTCGTGTCTACTTTGTAGATGATTCCTTCAAAACCATTGCCGTTAGTCCAACCATCAGTGCTCGTGATTTATCGATTGTTGTCGCTGATAAGATTGAATTGGAACAACGTGAAACTTTTGCGCTCTTTTTCTACAAGAACGGAGAGTGTAGATGTTTAGATGATGATGAACAACCGTGCAAATTGATGGTCTATGAAACTGTTGGTTCTGATGCAGACTTTCAAAAGTATGTGAATGATAAACAAGAATGGGAAAAATTAAAGAAAGACTGGGAGAAGGACTCTAAATTAGTATTCAAGAGAAGAGTCTTTTTAAAGCACAAGGCAATTCCACGGAACAAGAAAAGTTTTG